AATATTCATAGCAGCACTGTTCACAATAGCCAAGACATAGAAACAGCCTAAATGTCCATCAACAGATGACTGGATAAAGAAGAGGTCATATATTTATACAATGGAATACTACTCAGCCATAAAAACTGACAACATAATGCCATTGCAGCAACATGGATGTTCCTGGAGAATGTCATTCTAAGTGAAGTAAGTCAGAAAGAGAAAGAAAGATACCATATGAGATCGCTCATATGTGGAATCTAAAAAAAAGAAAAACAAACAAAACATAAATACAAAACAGAAATAGACTTATAGACATAGAATACAAACTTGTGGTTGCCAAGGGGGCGGGGGATGGGAAGGGACAGATTGGTATTTCAAAATGTACAATAAATAAACAAGATTATACTGTATAGCACAGGGAAATACATACAAGATCTTATGGTAGCTCACAGAGAAAAAAATCTGACAATGAATATATGTATGTTCACATACAACTGAAAAATTGTGCTCTACACTGGAATTTGACACAACATTGTAAAATGATTATAACTCAGTAAAAAAATGTTAAAAAAAAGAATGCAGGGTTAGCTACTTAAAGGCCATGCCATTATTGCTTTGAATAAAAAAATAAATAAAAGCATTCACAATAGGTATCACTGAGGGAGAAAGCCTGCATAGACAGTATCGTAAGTCAAAGGTATTTCAAAGACCTTCTCCAACTGTAGTATTAATTTCTCTTTAAGCTTTTACTCCTGGAACACTGAAATCATAGCATGATTTTATTTAGGAAACAGGAGTTTAATAGGAATTATATTTCTGTAAGTGAAAAGGTAATTCTTACCATTGATAAGTCATAAATTCGTTTTTTTAATGCAGCCACATCTTCTTTTTGACTTATGTGTCTTGATTGTTCTTCTAGCTGGAAAAGCAAATAAAAGTTGTGCATTTACAAACTTACTTTGAATTTATTCAGTTAAGTTTAGAAATATACTTGCATATGGATGTGGAAATTCTAGAAGCCTTCAATTTTAAACATTATACAACCTTATAAATCATTAAACTACATATAATCCAGAAGGATTTGAAAATATGCTTTAAATAATTTAAACATTTGAAAAGGGGATTTTATTATTTTATGAAATTTCTGTAAAACAATTAAAAAGCCTTTTTTTGGGAAACCATTCAACTATCAAGCACGCAAAGCACTCTCTTTCAATTATGTTGCATATGAGTCTGGATTCTTACATTCTCCCAAACTTTACCTGCATTTAACACTTTCCATCCTGTATCATAATTATTTATGAATGTTTTATCTCTCACCATAGTCCAAGATTTTTAACAGCAGAATTACTGTCAAAATCAACTATGTTTTCTTCACAATGATCTCAAAAAATGCTCATTTAATGATCTAAAGCAATAAAACTTAAATATGATATGAAGTTAGAGACATACACACAATAAAATTATATACACACGTGGGCTTTGCCTGATGGCTGGCTGGTTAGTATTACCAGACTAAATTGGCTCAGAAGCAACCCTAATGTGGACAACAAAAATGTCTGTCCTATGCAAAGCTTACACCGCCTGGGAATGCAGAGATCTGTGGGTATCCATTAATGGACTATGAATGCATTGACCAAAAGGAAAGCCATATTTCTTCAAATCTAAGTCAAAATCTACTCTGACACTAGACTTCATCTTGCCAGATGACACCAATGGAAGGTTTTCACACGGCTGTCTGAAACCAAGAGGGCCACTGATTTTAAGACCATGCCAATCTTAAAGAAGAAAAAGTGCTGAGGGAAAAATGAATTCTCAGAAACAACGGCATAAGGTAATGACAATCAGAGTAAATTTTTGTATAGTTCTTTACAGCCTTTAACGCGTTCTTCACATAAACCACCACTGGAACAAGTGAGAAAGCACCAACTGTGTAGAGACAGAAAGACAACCCACTACGTATCAGCCGAGTGACTTGAACAAGTTATTAAACCTGGAAATCAGGTCCTCATCTGTAAAAGTGGGAAATTTGTGCTCTCCTCAGAGAATGTTTGAGAATTTGATTTTTTAAATTATGAAAAGAGCTTAATAAACTACAAAGTCAATAAGATGTCAGTTATTATGGTTAGACGGACAGTTTATTGTTAATCCCATCTTGCAGATGAAAAGCTAGTGATGAGAACAATGAAGACAACTGTCCCAGGTGTTATGAAAAGAGATTGACAGGGTCTTGATAAGGACTCAAGTCTCGTCACTCCTGATTCTTACTGTTCAGTGTCTATTTGGTCTTCATCATGTGCTGTTTCAGGGCAAGAAACTCTGTGTCTCCTCTTGCAATCATTCTCTTAGTCTAAAGATTTGGGATGACATAGAAATAAGTAAGAATAGTGACTAGGAGAATCTGGGACGCTAGCACAAAGCAAGGGATTGGTCCATTCAAATTCTGTAATTCAAGCATAGTATGTATGGTCTAATTATCTCTGGAAATCAGATATAAGGTTGACATTGATAATAATTTTCCAAGAAGGATACTGGGGAGAATTCTTAATAATTCCAGAAGTTTAAATTGCAATAGCCCACAAAATGTGGCTGTCACTTAGTCCCATTCAGTACGAACACTGGAAGGAGCACTAAAGGTTATCACACCAACAACCAGAGAAGCAAAGTGATGTGTCTGATTTCACAGTGCCACCTTTAGGGATGGTTATTTTTTAACTACCCATTTTTATTTTAGCTAAGACATTTCCATTAGTTATGGAGACAATCCACATGCAGGAAGTGATTTCAGCACTGCGCTGGAGCCAGCGTGTACCAGCAGGTGAGAACCTATTTATTTTCAGAGTCTCTTCCCAAACTCTGCATTTAGTGATGTCAGCTTGGTAGCCTCCAATCGGTAATGGTGGGAGTATTTACAACGTGGAATTCAGCAAATGCTGCAAATCCCTCCTCCCTCCAGAACCTCTTGTTAAATACCTACCAGCAACCACTGAGTGAAATGGACTCTACTCAGAAACCAAATAGAGCAAAAGGCAAAACCAGTCACACCTTTGCCTTCACTTCAGCAGGTTCTCTCCCACTTGTTGCTGATTGGATACTTGTACCCTTCATTCAGCTGGGTATGGGGCTACGTGACTAGGAAAGACAGCGCGCCTGCTGCCATGAGCAGACAGTCCACTGGACACGTGGGGCTTGAGGGCACTTGGCTGGCAAAGACCAAGGAAAGAAAAACCGAGGTTTGATGGACAACTGTTCAAGGGATCAGAAATATTGTATTAGATCCATGTAAAAGATAGGCTGCCCTTAGAAACAGAAAAAGAAATTAGGGGCCTTTAAAAAAATTCTTGCCGGGGAGTCCAGTCTGATCCTCACATCTGATCCATCTGCTGCTTCAATATGACTCTATATGTTTTCAGTTGCTAAAAATGTAGACACACTGAGATACTGATGCTATGCCTCAGAGTCCAGCTGCCACACGCCTACCTTTCTGAGTTTCTTTATCGTCACCTGTAGATCTCCCACTTCTGTTTCATACTGACGTCTGAGGTCACTAAGGGCTTCCTCAGCTTTGCGTTTTTCCTGAAAGGAAAAAAAAAAAGATTTTGTTGATTTAAATAGGTTCTTCAAAACCCTAGAGGCGAGAAACATTTTGTGTCAAAACTAAGGCTGATCCCAAGTCTCCAACACAGAGATGGTGAGAAGGGATAACGGAAGGAACCAAACTTTAGACGCTCAGCACCTCCGGAATGGAAATCTGCAAGAGTGAAAGAACTGCAGAATCCCACCACCTATGTGCGTACATCACCTGGGGTGACACCTCTCAAGACTACTACTCAGCTGTGACAGAGGGCTGTGGCACATCAATTAAGTAGCTAGCTAGCTAATTATTGCTGTGTTTAATTAAAAGCTATGGCACAGCCAAGGGCCCCCGTGCTTGCCTCAACCCTATCATGTCTTCAGGACTCAAGAAGGCCTGGTGGGTTTACTGTTTCTCCAAGAGCTGACACCTTATCTAAATTCAAATCACATCACCTGCAAACTTCTGTGCAAAGTGCTGCCCCACAAGGTTGGTGCTTGTCATGTGTGTCGTCCCTGGGGCAGAGAATGGCAAAAGGGGACCCAAAGAGGTCAGGGGCTGAAGTTCTCATGAGCCCAAATACCAAATATCTCCTAGTTTCCTTTTTCTCTTAACACATTATGGAATTTTATATCCTCTGTTCAGCATTCAAATAAAGTTTTAAGTTCCTAATGAGTGGAATTGAGTGTAATAAGACCTAAATAAATGGAGACTACACCAGGTTTGTGAATCATTCATTATTAGTAACATGCCAATTCTCCTCTAATTGATCTACAGATGCAATGAAGTCCAAAGCCCTAGAAGGTTTTGGGTTTTTTGTTTTGTTTTATTTTGTTTTTAGAAATTGATAAGCTGATTCTATGGAAATTAGAGGAACTAAAATAGCCAAGAAAACTTAAAAAGGAAGCAAAGTTGAAGAACTAACACTACTTGATTTTAAGACTTATTATAAAGCAACAGTCGTCAAGACAAAAGTAATACTGGCATAAAGAGAGGCTAATCAATGGGGCAGAATGGGGAGCCCAGAAATAAACCCACTGAATACAGAAAACTGATTTTGGACAAAGTGCAAAGGCAATTCAGCAGAGAATAGATAGACTTTTGAACAAACAGGCTGGAACAATTAGATATGCACAAGCAAAAAAAAAAAAAAAAAAGAACTTTGACCTGTACCTTGCAAAATGGATCTTAAGTGTAAAACCTAAAACAACAAAACTTACAGAACAAACAGGAGAAAATCTTTGCAACCTTGGGTTAAGCAAAGATTTCTGAAATACCAAAAGCATGACCCATGAAAGAAAAAACTGACAAGCTGGACTTCATCAAAATAAAAAAAATTCTACTCTTGAAAAGACACTGTTAGGAGAACGAAAAGACAAGTCACAACCTGGGAGGAAATATTTATAGATCAGAATATATAAAGAACTCCCAAAACTCAATAATAAGAAAACAAACAACCTAATTTTAAAAATAAGCAAAAGATTTTAACAGATGCTTCATCAAAGAACACAGACAATGGCTGCCTGACAGGGAGGGACAAAGAAGGAAGGCACGACACAGGGACACATGGAAGCTAACAGCATGTGGATGTACCCATTACCCTGCTGTGTGATGGTTTCTTGGTATAGCCATACGTCCAATCTTATATTCTACACTTGAGTATTGTACGTGTTATTACTGCGTGCCCATTATACCTCAATAAAGCTATTGCAATAAATATTTTAAAACCTCAACTGAAACCGTGGGATAAACACCACATGTGCGAGAGGAGTCAAGGTCAGGAAGAGGTGAAGGTGGCCAGAGGACTAGGGGAGGGCATCAGGGAGAAGGGGAGACTTTCTCTGAGTTCTGCAGAATTTAGGAAAGCGGAAAGGAGTGGGGCAACAGTTATCAAGGCAAAGGGAAGAGAGAAAGCAGAGCAATCAGTGGGGCCAGAACTGCAGGATGAAGACCTGTGTGTGGGCAGCCAAGCTGAGCCGTGCTCAGTGGAGGGAAGTGCGGGCGAGTCTTCAGCTAGTCTGGAGGTGTTATTCCAGAGAGACTAGGAGACGGGGACAGACTGGCAAATGGGTGTCATCCCAGGGCCAGAGCTGCCCAGTTGGCAGGGGTGTGCTAAGGTTTCAGAGACCACGTCCATGCAGGGACTCACTGGCCACGTGTGCCATCGCTGTGCAACAGAGAAATGGTGCTGTGGATGCCATGTATTTGCCTCCCCTGTACCAGAGCCAAGGAAAGACGTTATAATTAACAAAACATGGATTTATAAGAGGTGGGGCCGTGGTCAGGTGTCCATTACCAACAACCAACTTGGGAAGTGCTTATCTGGAAGAAGCCATGAGATGTGAGGACAGAATTAACACATGTGATTGGTAAGTGTTTGATGAATGAATGAGTGCACAGGTTAAATGGATAGAGAGGGAAAAGGCAAAAAAAAAAAAGTCTGTTTCTAGACTAGAAAAAAATAGAGTGCTAACAAAGGAATGGGTAACACATTGCACAGAAGCTGGCCTGTGGACTCTGAACCACTCTGTTGAACATGACATCCAGTTATTAAATGTGTTATTAAGAGATAAGACAACAAAGAATCGAAAGCATGTAAGTGGTAAAGCCACTGAAGGTGAAGAATCTGGAAGGACACAAGGTACACAGAGCAACAGAAAAGAGCAGAACGGCAACGGCCAGGTGCCGCCCCTACACCTGGCACAGCTCCGGGCACTCATCCAGCCATCAGCCTGACCCTCCTCAAAGCAGGCGGGTGGCATGGCCCACTGTGAAGGTGGAACGACAAAGGCTCAGAGGTTAGGTTATGTTTCCAGTGCCAGTCAACCTAGACAAGGCAGAGCCAGGACACAAACTGAGGCCTACCAGATGCCAACACCCAGGCCCTTCTCACTCAATTCTGCAGCCTCTCGGAGTTAACACACAGGGCAAATGAAAAGAAAAAAAAAGGGAACGTTCAATCTAACATTAGCTACATAAGAAACAGGCCTATTTCCTGTTTTCAGCAAACGTTAATCACCCGAATATATTTAATGAGGAAAAAAGATAATTATTTCTCCTGTGGAAATCACTAAAGGCAGCACCCAACTTTCAACTCTGAGAATTCCTATACTGATGAGTAAAAGTATATTCCATAGCAAACACCAAAGTTTGCAAAGAGCATTTTAACGTCACTGTAATCTCGACCTGAAGTAGCAGCGGCCGTGGGCAGTGAGGCAGTGAGGGGTCAGAGGCGAGCCACCCTCCTCCACCAAAGGCGGGCTCTGCCTTCTTTCCTTCAGGCCTCAGCAATCCTGTCCCCTCTTCAGAGAGGCCCCTGGCCTCTGCACCTGTCATACACACTGTTTCTTTACTGTGCTTGTTGCCATCTGAAACGATCCACTTTATCTGATGACTTCTTTACTATCTTTTCCTCTCCCCTTACTCTACCTCCCAAAAAACCCACCGCCACTAAAAACGACTTTGCTGAGAGCGCCCGACATGCTGCACCCAGAGGATGCCCGGTGCCCCGTCCATAAAGGTGCTGTGATGATTCGGTGCACGAACGGGCCCATCCCAGAAACTCACATCTTTCCGCGTCTTGTGTTCCGCAGCCTGAATCCTCTGATCCATTTCCTCTTCCAACTCGCTCAGCTGCATGGCTGCCTTGTCCTGGGCTCTGAAATTCAGGAGGAGGCACACCTTTTCCTTATACTCTTGGACTTGTAACATGAACAGAAAACTCTGACCTCAGCTATTTCAATCTCTCTATTTTACAGATAAGGAGAAACATACCATTTAAAATAACCATTTAAAATAACAGTCCCTGTACCTTCTACATAATAAAATGAGGTTGGCAATTTGACCAGTTGGGTGTAAGGGGACATTTAAAACTAGATATGAAATAAATGAAATAGAGTAGATTAAATGGTATTAAACTAGATTGTGGCAAAGAACAGAGAAAGATACCAAATTGCTGGGAGGCTCTTAATAAATTTTGAAAATCTTTTTGGCTGCTATGACGGAGATACATCCCCAGTCAAAAAACAAAAACAAAACAAAAACCTCCACGGCAAAGGGTAAGTTAGACACAATTCTGCAATTTAACTATATGACACACACAATGCTATATGCTATAGTTAGAAGGCAAAAAAAGAAGAGCTCTCAAAAAGTATTTCTAATCAGCTTCCCAAAGTTCAAGAAGTAGATATAGCTACCCTTTAGAAAATTCCTGTTTCTCTTATTAATACAACAAATCACATTTCTATGGAGGCAGAGCATACTGATTTGCCAAGAAGTTAGAAATGGGAAGGTTCTGTTGAGACAGTTTTATTCAGCAACTGTCTACCACAGACACATCTGTCACTTTACAATGGTTGAATCTTCAGATTAAGGCCTAAAAAAAATTATTTTTCCTTCTCTCTCAGCTATATGTTCAGTTATCTAAATTTTCATAGGCACATGTCCTGCCTACTCAACTAGGTTGCAAAAGACTCGAAATCAGCCACCATGAGACTCAGAGTCAATTTACTTGGATCAATGGTGTTAATAAAAGTAGAAACAAGACCTAAATAGAAGACCTTCCGTCTTCGAGTCTGATGGTTTCTGCTATGTCATCCTACCTGCTTTCAACGTATTTATTCCCTCCCAACACAATCTCTTCATGCATTAATTTAATTTCTACATAAGGTTCCAAACCAGCATTGATGGGAGAAAGGAGGAGCCTCAAAGTAAAATTCTGACTGACTTATTGCTGTTTTCTGCTCCTGTTTACCTCCTCCTCATCCTACAGCCCGCCGAAGATTTGTTAACCAGGTCAGCTAGTTCTAGTTTGTTTGTAAACACCTGCTACTTGAAGTCTAGGAATTATACATCTCCATAGCAACTCTGGGGTTTTTTTTTTGTCTTTTTTGGTCAACTCTGGGATGTAAATAGCTAAGCCACACATCCATTTCTCCTTTAGTTATGACCATTTTTTCCCAGCCATTCCTTCTAGACATCGAGTCCCAAACATCTGGGCCTCTGGGACTGCTCCTGTATGTGTTTCTTCTGCCTTTTTCACTTCTGAACAAGTGGTATGGAGGTCTTTTTCACTTCTTTTTCCTTCTTCTTCTTCTTCTTTTTTTTTAAAAAATAAATTAAGGTAGTCTATAATGACAGACTGTTTGCCCCTGCAATTGCTAATTCCCTGTCAAGTGTCTAGCATGTTGGGACTGTCCCCTCTAACCTTCGTCCAGGGCTCCTACCAGGACACTGGGAACCCATTCTTCAGGTGCAGAACAAACAGATTGAGGCCCTCCCCTAAACAACAACAGAGGTAAGGATGGCTGGTCCTGAGCTAAGGAATGTTAGGAAATGTTCACAGTAGTCACTTAAACCCTTCAGCAAGGTCTCTGCCCGCTCCAAAAGCGGCCTTTCGGGAGCCCCAGGCTCAGGACAGAGCCTGACCACGGATCCATCCGGAGAGCACCCCAGTGGGAGAAGAGAAGCACCAACAGCTCAGCATCACGTGGCGTCGTCCCTCCAGAGAGGAGAGCAGCCCGGCTGGTAATGAGAACACAGAGGAGAGAATGCCATTCTTTTTTGCCCTTATGGGTTTACATGGGACTATCTGTAGAGGTCATGTGTGGATGTGTGTGTCCCATGCATCTTTGTGTGGGTCTGTGTATGTGCACCTGTGTGTGTACAGGGGAGTTTGTTTTCACAGATACTAACTGGACTCTCTAAAAACTTAGTATGTGTGTCTGCTAGTCATCCCTCAAAGGAGGCCAAATCCTTTTATTGAGAAAAAATCCTGTGAACAGTTCAACTCTTGCATGATTCTCAGGACTATAAAAACAGTCCTATTTAGCATCAACGGTTTAAAACATTTTCTCTTCTATATTTTAATTACCTTCAGTTACTCCACAGGGTCAACTAGACAGTTTTATTATCATCAAGTTGAGGGCAAGAATAAAGGGACAGAGGAACAGCCCTCACCTGTCCCTGTGCAAACCAGGGGGCATCCTATCAGAGGGGTCACTGACAAGCTCTGGGCAGAGACCAGCACAGTGCACAGCACACTGAGAGCTGCTGGTGGGGCACACGGCAGCAAGAATCAATTGCTGGATGTGTGCAGAGGCCAGGAATTGTGACGAAAAAACGCCCCCTTTACCCAACTTACGGCAAAGGTGTGGTCTTCCAGGAAGCAGAGAGGCTGATGTTCCGATGGCAACACATATAAATTCTCCTTTGGCACTGGGCTGCAGTAAGATATCCTGGGTAAGCCAGCTATGGCTTATGGAAACTGTCTGCCTGAGAGGAAGGCTTTAGCAGCTTTACGCTTTCAGTTCAAGCTGGGTGAGGAGGGCGGGAGAGGGAGAGAAGCCCTACTCAGCACCTACCATGTGACAGGCCGCGGCCAGGGCCTTCACCCATGACTCACCCATGAAGTCTCCACACCCCGAGGATGTGAATATTTACAGCCTCATTTTGCAGATGCAGAAGCCGAGATTCAGAGAGATGGTAACCTGCCCAAAGTCACTCACTTTTCAGTGACAAGGACAGGCTTCAAATGGAGTCTGCCTGCCTCTCTGGGTGAAAAGTTTCCTGGACATTGCAAGTGGCTGGATATAAGATAACACACCTCTTTGAACTGTTTTGTATGGGATCATGGACCTTGAAGAGCTTCTATGACAGGATCGTGGTAACGTACTGATGGATTGTTGGCTGACCCTACAAAGAACTGCCTGACTCAGCTTCCCTGGTGCTGGTTTAGTTTAGAAAACTCCGGATTCCTCAGGTTCCGAAGTTCCCCTATATCATAAGGTGATAAAGCAGTTCTGTCTCTGTGCCACTCAGTCAGAGAGCCTGGTAAAGGACCCCTTCCGCCACTTAGGAAAGACCTCCATACCTCTTCACTGCAATGGCCAGGTTTTCCATTTCTGTGCTTTGAAGTTTGATCTCATGGATAAAGTTCTTTATAACATGTTCATAAGGCTGAACCAGTCTTGGCTCCACGAGGTTGATGTTTTGATACAAGGTACTAACTTGCTCTTTTCTGCCAAAAAAAAAAATTAAAATTAAAAATTCAATAAAACCAAATAACAGAATAAAAAGGAAAACTTTCAGAATACTTTTACCAAAGAGACACACATAAGAACCAGGAAAGAAAAAAGCAACAACACCAGAGTGACCAGAAGGGAGGGAAGACAGCAGTCAGAGACGCTGCTGCATTAGTCTTCATTTACTGTTATTTTTTTTTCCCACAATGGAACAGCAACTTCATTTCCCCCACAGCTTTACTGAGATACAACTGACAAATAAAAATTGTATATATTTAGGTTGTACAATGTGATTTTCTCAGGTACACAATGTGCTGATTTAACAGAAGAAGATGGAGGCCTGTGAGGGCAGTGGATATGCACTGGGAGGAATTGACAGGGAAGGATATTTGCTTGTCACTGCTGGTTTTTTTTTCTTTAATAGAAAAGTAAACAGACTTACAGAAAAAAATAGTTAGGAAACATTAAACCAATTACTTAACATGTTCCACCAATCCCTAATGAGATATTGCTCAGGCTTTACAATCATAAAAGTGCATATACATATCTATTATTTTATAGTCAGTTAAAATTATTTCATATGTATTATATTTATATGTGACAATCCTCGTATTTGTTATTAACATTTATTGAAAGACAAATATTTCAGAGTCATTTCAAAAGAAAAACTGGTAAGACTGGGCAGCTGATCTGCTAGGGGACTTAGAAGTGAGTCAGTGAGGCTAGTGGTGCCCTTGACTCAAGTCTGGGAGCTGACGTGCTCAGTGACACAGACGGAAGACCATGTGAAGACACAGGAAGACGGCCATCGACAAGACAGGGAGAGAGGCCTCTCATCCAACTGCCAACACCTCATCTCAAACTTCCGGCCTCCAGAATTGTGAGAAAATAAATTTCTATTGTTTAAGCCACTCTGTCTGGTATATGTTATCCAAAATACCTAGGCAACTGTAGCAAACCCTGGAAATTTCCAAGGTTACATGGTGACTGAGCTGGGGTTCAAACTCAGTCTGATACTACAGACCACACAGTCCACCATTACATTATATTGCTCCCCAGTTGTGTTAAACATCTGAACCTTGGCAGAAGAAACAGGATTCAAAATCATTCCATACAACTATGAAATACTGCAAAGTGTAAGGTATATATTAACCTGAAGCTTACTTAAGCATGGCCCTGAGGTGTGTCCATGTAGCTATAAACTTGACCAGGTTTGCTCTTAAAAATCAACTGCTCGATGTGTACAAAGGCCAATTATGATTCAAAAGAACAGCTCAAGTGAAGCAATATTAATATACCTGCAGGAGCAAGTTGCTTTATTTGGTGATACAAGACACAGAAAGCTGCCATCACTTCTCCCATCAGAACTGAGTGCAAATATTGGCCGCAATAGTGAGCCATTTTTATTAAAGAGCAGAAAAAACTCTCCTCTTAGAATGTCCCACATAATTTCAATGCCCAACAGGATCATTAACTTCTTTACCTTTGGCCATTCACTGACCACCAGCAGTATACAAAGCATAGCAACTTTCTGGTTAATAGGAACCTGCCTATCTGTCAAGGATGGCCACTGAGATACTGTGACTGAGAGACCTTGCTGCTTGGCTAACTGCACAGCAATAAAATGTTCAGAATCAGCTGTCTCAGAAGATATCTTAATTTCTGAAAATTTCTAAAATAAGAAAGAAACGCCATGTCTGTAAATTCTCTTGGGTCCTTTCTTGGTGCTGGTACTGTACAGAATTTCAGGAACAGCTTACGGTGTACACACAGTTTAATTACAGAAAAAGCCTGCCACCAGCAGGAACTATGCTACATGGTTACCTGCTGTGCAGGAGGCTAGCTGGCTACTCATGTATCCCGTTTCTTACTAGAGGGCACACAGGGGAGAACTGACTCCCCAGAACCCCAGGCAGGTAGGTCGGAGCCACGTGACTAGTTGTGGCCACTGGGATGGGGGCAGAAATGATGTGTTTCCATGCCTGGCTCCTAGAATCCTCTGTAAGATCTTTAGCTCATATTCTCATTATCCATATCTATGTCTATTTCTCTCTCTCTCTCTCTTTCTCTCTCCTACTCTGCCTCCCTCCTTACTTCCTCATCCTCATGGCTGAGGTGAAAAACTCTGGTGTGGCAAAGCCATGTGATGAGATGTGTTTGAATCACTACGCTGCGAGAAACTGCTCGGGAAGGATTCCCCACCACCTCAATCTTCCTAACACATGAGAGAGAAATGAGGTTGTATTCTGTAGTGCCTAAGGCTTGGACGTACTTTGTTACAGTCATCTTGAGCTATAAAAAAAAAGGTGGCTTTATAGCTTCCTATTTTTTTTTATCATCTTCCAGATTAAATTACTTTCTTGCCTGCTTCCTTGATAGCTTCATATTAACTAAGTAATAAAACTTCTACGACCAGGGTAAGTGTTTACTGCCACCATCCGCTTCCCTTCAAGGGAACAAAAGACTACTCTGAAGCATTCATGTACTGAAGCAGACATTTATCAAGCACCTTATATATGCAGCCCCGGCAGTGACGTCAGCATTTACATGTGCTATTTACTTAACCCTCACAGCCCTATGAAGAAGTTATCACTGGATCCCATTTACCACAGAGGAAACTGAGGTAGAAAGAGGTGAGTATCATCCTGGTATCGGAGCCAGGATTCCAGCTCAGCCCATCGGGCTCCAGAGTCTACCGCTCCAGGGAGGAGCTAGCTCTTCATGCCAAAAGTAAGCGCCAGCCTGCTTTTCAGGGATCCCAAGATTTTTTTCAAAATTATTTCAGAGGAGAACAGATATTATTGTTACAAGGACTGCCCACATCACAAAGGGACTCCTTTAAAGAATGAAAGCATGACTAAGATTATAATGAGATACTCTTATAAATTCTTATTTACCTAAGCTATTTGGGCAAAGCACTGCTGGACACAGTGAGGCACACTCTCACCTCCCCCTCCTTTTGCCTGCTTGCTTCATTTGGTCTGTATCTGTGAAACGAGAGAACTATCTGGATTATGCCGAAAGTCTGCAATGCAATGCACTTGGTGATTTTCACACCTGATGCAAAAACAAACAAACAAACAAAATACTTTATCCTAACAAAAGATAATACCTGGCCCCTCTATGTAACATTTAAATGCTGCGCCCTGTACAGGCAGCTAAACACCTACAGATTCTTCAGCTCAACCTACCGGATGCCATCACTTGGTGCCAAGACAGTCTATTGTTCTGCTCCTGAGACTGCAGGAGCCACCGGCCTCCCCTAGTGTCCTCACTCCTGACGTCAAAGGTTAAACAAGCAGACCGCACAATGCTGCTCACACAGCTCTGTTTTCTCCTGGGCCTGACCCTGGGTGGCTCCTCTGGGTGCTGAGAAAGATGCCTGGTAGTGACAGGGCTCTGAGCACTTTTAATTCATTAAGTCCAGGGCCTCATTGAAGGCAGGTATGCTTGGATTCACAAATACCATATAGCGGACAAATACGAGGTAAAGATTAAGGGTCAGGTCACACGTGTTAGTCAGCCAAGACAAAAAACAGCCTCTGCTTCTGTGCGGAAAGAGCCACGAACATTAAAAATAATCTAATTTATGTCTGAAGGAAAGAGACTGAAAGAAATACAATCAGAGAAAAATGCACCCTGGATTAAAAACCGGTTTTAGATGTTTAAAATCTGAGCCTTTTCATCTTCTTGGTCAGTAAATTACAAGACGATCTGTACTAAAGACAGTAATAAACTGCTGATGAAAAATTCACAACTTAAAATTGTAAAATGAAATAGTAAGCATTGTAAATTTCATATATTCCCATTGAAGCCGAGAGGGAAATTATATGAATTTAGGAGGAAAAAAAATCAGGTATAGTTAAGATAGGTACAAAAATTTTAAAGACCACACATTTCCATAGGATTAACATTTTACTTAGAAGGGCACATATCTGTCTACGTTTGTATTCGTAATGTAGTAAAGCCAGTATTTAGAATGCCTGGACACCTCTGGTCTCAGGACACCCCTGAGAAATAGTCAAGTGCAGGCAACACCACTCCAGATAAGGAACATGGTGACCCAATAGGGTTGGTAGGAAAACTGGCCCTTCTGCTTCCAAGCCTTGCTACTTGAAACACTGAAATAAGAGAGCTAACCTATTTATTCAAAGTGTAGGTTATATAGATCTAAAACCCTAAATGGTTTTCTGTGGACAAAAGCAAACAGTATTCAGTGCCAATGTCTACATCATTCTATGCTAGGGACGGCTGTTAGGAAACTGACACTATGACCCTAACACCTGAGCATGGGCAATTAAATATCCATGCAATCCAAAGGGTACCAGGTGAGATCCTGGAAAGAAAAACGCTAAGAAACAGACTGAGTTCTTCCCCTCATTAGGCTCACCATGAAGATTAAGTACAAGATGCTCTGACAGCACAGAGCAGGTGGACATGACCAAGCCTTGGGGGATGATGACCTGAAAGGTGAGTAGATGTCAATGGGCAGAAGTTGGGTGGGAGTGGCCTGTCCCAGGAACCAACAACCACAAGCTGACAGGATTGGGGGCAGGGGAGGGGCCAGCAGCAGTTCCCGTAAGTGGAAGAAGCTGGTGAGGCAGGAGAGCTCAGGGTGGGAGAAGGGGCCACAGCAGCAGACGGGGGAGAAGCCAGCGGGAGGCGGATGACCGCACAGGGCCCGGAAGCACCGTAAAGACAAGGGAGGGGGCAGTTATTCTGAGAAGGTGGTAAGACCCTGGGAGGTTTGAAGGAAGAGATGACATCATCTTCACAAAGTTTTGGTTGATGTAGAGAATTAAACAGAATTCTGAAACAAGTCTACAGAAAAGGTAAATCTAAGTCTAGCATAATTGAATCCAGAAATGTGGGACTTCAGGAGTCTTCCCTAGCTTGTACTTTATTATAGAATGTGTAAAATTACAGATAACTAAAATCTGATCATATAGACAAACAGATCAGTGGAACAGAACAGAGAGCCCAGAAAGAGACCCAC